ATACTTTGTGGGGTCTGCCACGCCTCCTTCTGCCTGTTACATACATATCAACAAAACCATTATAATAATAATGGAAGGCGTTAATACATAATGAATAGCCAATAAAAAAGACCTCATTTAAATTTTTTGGATATCTTACTGGTTTAGCCTAGAACTCCCTTGCGTCGCACACTGTGCCTACCATCGAACCACGCCCAAGCGTGACGCTGTCGCCAAAACGGTACTTTCCAAAATTACAAAATGCCATCATTTTCACATTATGATGAAATAACATTCTCGCGAAATGCCGCACACACACACACACACAGCACGAACTGCACGTGCCGACATATGTATGTATGTACATATACACGAGTATGTGTTCCAATTTCAAGTTTTGAGTGTGTTTTTATTATTTTAAATATTTCCAAACTATCAAATTAATACATTATTAATAATTAATATATTCTATTTAGATTTTTTCTCATATAATATTTATTCATGAAATTGAAGCTGAAAATTTCCTTATTGAAATCAACCGATTGTGATTTCAATAGGGAAATTTTTTAAGTGTATTAACTAGGCACATGTGAAGGGGCAATAAAAAACCAAATAAATGCTTATCAGATAAGCGATGATAAGGTAAATACATATATTCCGTATTTATTCCTATTTTGTTGCCAACGTGGGCAGTTGCCAAACGAACCTGCAATAGAGTAGTGCTCGTATCAGATCAAATGAAAGGGAATATTTGTATAGTACTGATCATCTTAAGTTGTGCGCTGAGTTCTGCTCGGGCGCGAACCACAGATGTTCCAGAGAGTACTACTTTTAAAATCCCATTCTATTACTGCCCTAGGTATGAGGGCACTGTAATCGATCTGAAAGGCGTAAGTTAAAGCACCGTATTCGTAGGAATGACCATTTAATGCTGTACCTCTTATTCAGCTTTCCGGCCTGTGGTTTGAGACGGCTCGCGGCTTTAACCTGGATAAGATGGAGTGCCTGAACTACACAGTGCCCGACAGCCCAAACGACAAGAATATGGTGGAGCTGCAGCTTGAGTTTGTGGATGCCGCCAACAGCAAATGGGACAACGTGAAGCGATCCAAGTCATTGTTCTGGGATGATAATGCTAAGAATGGGATCTTCACTTGGAATATCGAGGAATCTAGCAATATGACTGTCACCTATAAGTTGCTTGAAACTGACCATACTTCCTACGCCTTGTTCTGCGGCAACTCAGATAGCACAAGCTTACCGCTCTACAAAGTGTGGACACGCAACCGCCACCTGACCGATGAGCAGAAGATCTTCATCCAAAACAAGTTTAAAGAAATGCTACAACTCCAGTACCTCAACTATGTAGAGCAATCAGAGGAAAAGTGCAACAACTCCGCCATGAGGGCAGCTGGCAGAGCTCTTCTCGCACTGGCACTTGCGCTCATTGCATATTTATAGTGTGATATACATATACATACATGCATCCAGACGCACGCATAAGCCCGTGCTCTGCTAACTGCGAAGTAGGCAGCGACTGCGCTTGGGCTGCCCTGCAGTGTGGGCAATATTATGAGAATTTATTTGTTGAATAATTTAATTTCTAGA